GCTTTCTAGCACCTCTTTGAAGCTAAAGACGATGTTTGTTAAGAATGGTTACTTGTGTAATGTTGCGTTCTTAAAAAATACTCTAAAACATATAAATAAGTTACCCGGGCAATTGATTTGCATTAGCCAATCAGACGAATTTCTGCCTATGACCACTAATCTATTTCATGAAGGTGCTATATGTAAAGTTTCTGATATGCATTTACATTTCTGTTTGGCCACATATACTGTATCATCCAATAAAATACAAGATTTTGAAGATATACACCTAATTTGCAATATAACCATATACTTTGTGAAATTTTCAATATCACTCCATTCCTGGTACAGTTACCATTATAATGATATTATTATGATTATAATAATAGTTAACAGTTTTTCAGTTATTACAGTCGTCCCTCGTTAATATCAACCCCGTTAATATCTATACAATGAACATTTATATATTAAAATTATATTGAAATTCCCTCATATATCAACTTTAATATGTTTCCTCATTATTATCACTATCAACATGAATATAAGAGCGATCCAAATAGGTTGATACTAATGAGGGATGACTGTATATCTAATCCTAGCACACAAGATTTTTTAATGTATAAAGGTAGAGTGTACGTAGATATGATCTGCATAGCAAATTTTGATTTTGTCAAAAAATTAAATAAGATTTCATAGTATATAGATTAAAGTATGCTTTATATAATGATAATAGATATGCGCTACGAATTCCCGGGTACTATCGAACGTGTCGAACAAAGAGTATTACATGTTAGCAAAGAAAATAATAATGAAGGTTTATACAAAGAAAATTTTTAACAAAATTTTCGCAACAATAGATAGTCCGTATAGCCTCCAAAGTTTGTAACGTTTTTTTTTTAAATCCATATTAACGGGATTGAACATTTAGATAAATTAGTAAGAGAAAAAGGGTGTTTATTCACAATACAATTATAATGTGTTAAATTTTGTTATGTTTTCTGTGTATTAGTAACAGATTGTTAGAGGTTACATATTCAACCGTTTTGACCCGAGTTGTAAATTTTTGACCCGGTTGAACCGTTTTGACACGGGTGACCCGGTTTACTATAACCCGGTTCTAAACTCTAATTCCAATTATCAACAACACGTTGAATTCTTGCACTCTTGTGTTTCAATGAGTTCCTGTTATTGCTAGAAAGATCAAAGAAATCATCCAAAGAAGTTTGTGTATTTAATTTTTTTTCATTTTCAACCTTTTCGCTCTATTATTTATCATAATTCGAATTAAAAACTTATTAAATAATGTAAGGATAAAATTACTAATGTAAACATGCCTGTCCCTTTATCATGGTTCGCACAAGCGGTACAAGAGTTTCGTCAACTTTACTTTCAGACCATGATAGATTTTCTTTCAAATAACTAAAATAACATATTGTCATTAGAATGATTCAAAGCTAATATAACTTTTTTCACAAACCTTCTCAAGTCATCCAAATCAGGAAAACCCCATTCAAATTGGACTTTTGAATCATCTACTTGCGGATTCATATATGCATTCCAGATATGACGACTTGGAAAATCTGACGGTAAAAAGAGCGTTCTCATTTTTCGGCGCTAATATGAACCAATAAACAATTTCATTCAATGAGATCAGCACACTCTTTTTCTTATAAATCAGAAGAATAATAATGATTTAATTATTAAACGTGAACACACAAACTTCTTTTTAAAATCGCTTTCATCCTTATCTGGAACATACTTCCCGCTTTGTACATTTAACCACCAAGATTTAAATTGTTCTAGGCCATCATCACTAGGGAATTCATTCAAAAGCTCCATGGCACTAACAATCCCAATACCAGGTAGACCCGCAGTGTAATCACTTCCCAAAAGAATTGCAAGTCGTATTAATTTTTCACGATTTAATTTTAATATTTGCTCAAAATCTTGTGCAAGGTAACGTTCGACATATTTTTGCTGATTAAACATGTTTTTATATACTTCTGTGCCTCCGAACAAAAATACGTCACTATCCTCTGTAATGATGCCATCAACTAGCTTAAGCCGTAGTAATTCAGCACATTGTGCCTCAGCTTCCATTGGTGCGATAACATATGGAATGCCAAACAATTTTAAAAGTTTCTATGAAAAGTTTCAAAAATATATTAAATATATATACATATATTGCCTAAGTACAAAAATACATATAAGAGACATAGTTCATATTCATACTTGGCAGTCATTTATCATTGATTGAGTCACAGTATCTACTTCGCGTTTATCTCGCCTTTGCTGTTCATTTAATTGTTGGATTTCATTAGTCAATTCTTTTTGTATTGAACCCAGGTCCTTATTTTGTAATTCGGATAAAAACCTAGCAAATTCGGAAGTTTCCTTGGTTAATTGCTCAGGTATATCCTCGTCTGAATTATCATGTTCTTCACGTGATTCGAACACATCTTCATCAGACGATGAAATGTCATTATCACTTTTATCTGATCCATCTGTTTGGGCATCAGGCTCAGATGTTAAATCGATTACATTGATTTTAGATCCATTGTGTTGATGTATTAAAGAAATATTGTTATCCGGTGTTGAATCCTTTATATCTATTTCTGAGCAATCCTCGTTACATTGAGTGTGACGTAAATCGTCGGTTTCGAGATTTAAATTATGAAGTGTTAAATCATTTGTTTCCATGCCGACTTCTCCAGATATTGACATAGTAACATCATCGATATATAGCAAATCTGTCTGAATTAAATCATCTGTTTTTAAAAGTAAATGGTTTTGATCGGTTTTATTCAGGTGCTCATCGTTATTTAATATTTCTGAAGCTCTTATTGAATCAATGTCATTATGCATTTCGTACTCAAAATAATTCGATTTAATTTTTCCATCGTCAACTATACAATGTGATGATCCTTGAATGGATGATTTAGATTCTGTGCTAGTATGCTTAACGTCATTCGTCAAATCAGTAGCAAGCAAATCTCCGTTTGGAATTATAGGTTTGATTTCCCTAATTATTATTTGACGAGGTGTTGATTTAAGTTTCTTTGATATTTTATTAGATAACCTTCTAAAATTAATGGTCAACGAAGTATCGTAAGCCACTGGCAAATTAAAGGATTCAAAATTCATCTGTACTAATTTTTTTCTCTTAATCGTGTCTTTCAGATGTTCAGTAGGATTCAAAATCTCGTGCATTAATCGCTTACCGTTAAGCTTATTAAGGCCAGGATTTTCATTAATAACAACCCTTGACAGTTTCGTTGATGAGACTGAATCTAAATATAAACTAGCCGCTTTATTATTATTTCCTGACGAAGAACTGCCTGCCTCATCTTTTCGAAAGGAAGATGAGTGTGTTCTACGAAATTGGATCGTATAATTTAAAAATTTAAGCCAAAAGTTCAAAGCCACTTCTTTTTCATTGTCGCCCTCTTTTAATTTTCCTAACCGTTTAATAGCCAAAGCTTTTTGTTCTTCAAGACCACTATCATCCAATTCATATATTGCTTTACGGATCCTTTCATCATGATCAGGGTACTCACTTTGAAAGATTGGTGGCATTTGTGATAACCAAAAAGCATATAGTGAGTCTAAAGAGTCCGGTTCATAAGATTTAGAAGTGTCTTGATCGTCACTTAGGCTATCAACCGAGCCAATCTCTCTGTTAGACAGTTTAAAGTTTTGCAAATTTGGTTGTTCTGATTCAAGTACATTAAACCTTTTCATAACGGATTCAATAGGTTCATCGTCATAAACATAAGCATTTGAATTTAATAACAAGTCATCAGATTCATTTTCTATAAAGGAAGAAGAAATTAGATAAACGATATTAACTATGCTTAATTTCTCTCATTTAAATCACCTAGTTCCATTCCATTTTGAAGCACATCATGTCCAGTCGTGTTACTTGCCGCATCTGAACTACCAAAAAATTGAAAGTAAATAATAAAATATTGCTATATTGCAAAATAAAAACCAAACTTACTAAACATAATCAACTTCTTCCCATTCATTTTCGGAGTCTGGTATTGATTTTTCATCAGAGCTCTCATCTAAATTCACTGGCTCATCAATTGTACCCGATCCCTTTCCAGTTAAATTGTTCGACTTTATGGCACTATTAGTTACCATTGTATACCCCGCAAGACCATCCCCATTCTTAATTAATGTATATTCTCTGTTACGCTCTGACGCAATTCGTTGTGGGGCAGTATTATTTATATTATTAACATTATTAGTGACGCTCAGCATCTTTTGAGTTAAATCATTTCTTTTAACTAGATTTTGTATTTGAAGCTTTGAAAAATCCATAGCGGTGTATAAAAAAAACCATTAAGGATGATAAAATCAAAAGTGAAATTAGATAATAAAAAGATTTTCATTCTCATATTTAGGATATGGGAGCGTTGTTAACTAATTCGTGGAATCTATCTACTGAAGTTAACCGACTTTTTTGCCTAAGTTCACTAATTATTTCATATTGAGTTTCAAGCGGAAGAGACTTAAAATATTCAGAATTGATATCGACATCTTCCGGCTATAATAATAATATAAAATTCTTAAGCTACTTTCCACGTAGACAAATGATAAATCATTAAGATTATTAACAATTACCTTGTACTTTTTTATATAATTACGTAGATCTTCTTTAGTTGCCATTCTTGGATCATCTTCCTTAATCATAGATCTTGAGTGGTAACTCGACATTCAGTAATAATTTTTAAAGCAAAATATGCATGTCATTACCTTGATACAAATACATACTCAATTCCCCCTTCAATAGGCGGCAAATAATATTCGTCCTTTTTTCTCCTTTGATGCAATTGTGCAGAACTCATCTTTAATTCATCATAATAAATGACATCATCGTCTATTATCATGTTTTCTTGTGAGTCATTTCGACTCTTATCTGATCTATTAACATATAAAGTCAGGAACGACTTCGAATCTTCGAACATACAAAAGAGATAAGTATGAAAAGTAATTATACTTTGATTCTTCAATGTTTTTAATAGTACGCATTTGAATGCGATTAGCTAAAATTTTTCCAGCAATTTTTTGCAACTCATCAGTCTTTCCATTACGCCTTTTTCGACGTTCTGCCTAATCATTTGAAAGAAAATATTGTAAATAATTCGATCGACAGTATGATGATCGAGTAGAATGATAACAAACCAAGGTATGTCGCTTCAGCTCTGGAGCTCCACCATCAAACACAAATACTGGTTTAATATTGAAAAAAAGAAGCTTGCATATCCTTCGGAAAAAACCTAGGATATGTGCATTTTTTAAGGCATTGCCTTCTTCGTCACGTATTGCCTTTAAAAATTGATACAACCAAATGCTAGCATGTGTTAATTACGAAATAAATTAAAGAATATATTATTAAGTAATAAATATATGTTTAATGGAAATATAAATATAAAGGATATCAATAGCAAGTCTTTTTTGGCTTAAAGATTCAAGCTGTATGGGTCTCGCCACGGGTTCTAATAAACTCCATAAATTTTTTACGCCCATACTGTTGTAATACCTTATAATAAAATATCTTTAACTTTCGCAGTAGGGTAAAAATGTATTGTGCTTGGTAAGATGTAATCGGACACGCCCTCACGGAAATAGAGTTGTAACTTTACATTGTAAGTTACATGACCTCGTGTAAGCTACAAATATGATGCTAAAGCAGGCCAACTTTAAGATTAATTTTGGCCCGCATTAAGATAAAGTAGTTCATCCAAGTTACAAATATAGAATGTTTTGATCTGATCTCAAGACGCGATTAGGCCACATAAATTTGTTTTCATAACATGAAACTTTTAAACAGACCCGGCCGGCCGGTTTTTTTTTTAAATTTCATATATGAGTGTCGCTAAAAGAAAACCCGACAATTTAAATATAAATCATATTTAAATTTTTGGGTTTTCTTTTAGCGACACTCATATAAATTCTATAAAACTTATTTAAAAATTTCTTTAAAAACCTACCCGGTTATTAAACATAAATTTTTTTTTACAAGGTTCCAAATTTTGACCCGGCCGGGTTATGAAAACCAATTAATCTAAACCCTCATTGATTTGTTTTAATTGGTCTGACGAATTATTAAGGTTTTATAATTGTGATTGTTTCGATTTATTGAGAATAAAACCTATTAGATTATCTATCGTCTAATTTATTAGACCGGGCCTACTGAAACACAGTGTTGGCCTATAATCTTAAATGACCTATATGATCCTTAAAGGTTGATATGATTTATGACTCTTTTTTTAATAGTAAAGAATCATTGTAAAAAAATTTTTTATTAGCATTTAATATGATTGACATGACTATAACCAAAAGTTGATTATATAATTAGGGTAGTGTCATTTATTACCTGATTATTTTTTATTAGAAGTTTATTTTCTTTTTTCTCTTTTAACATATATTTTGATTAGGTTTTATATATAATTTTAAATTTTTTATCTCTCTTTTTTCTTTAAAAAATCATTTAATTTTTGTTATGGTTCTTAAGGTATAGAAAAAAATTATTATGACTTAAATTATTAGTTAATATTGCTGAAATATGTTAAATTTAATATTTTTTTCTATAAATTTATAGAATTAAAAAAAGGTTTATTGATTAAAAAAATTATACAACTCTTTTTGCTGATCTTTTATATACAAATTTATATAAACAAAAATTATTAAAAAACTTAAAAAAACACATAAAGTTTAATAAGAAACCAGACTTGGAGCTCTAAGAAAAAAGGAAAAGAATAGTAGAAAATATTCAGTCTCTTAAAAAACTTGAGTTAGAGAAGCAAAGGTGGTGTTATAGAACAGTTTTATTTTATTAAGTTTATTACAGTCAGACCTCGTTATAGTCACTCTTGATATAGTCACAACCTTGTTATAGTCACACTATTTTTTAGTCCTAGACATTATAAAACATATAAAATTGGACCTTTATATAGTCACACTTTTTTATAATCACCAAATGTTTGTTTCTGAAACTGGTGATTATATCGAGGTCTGACTGTATTTTATCTTAATATTATTTTATTATTTTGATATTTGTTTTTATTAGTTATTAATTATTATTATATTTATCTTAAAGAAGAATTTAAAAACATATATAATAATTAGTCTTAACATTTAATGCTTAGTAATTAACAATTAGCAATAACACTTAGGGGAAGGACAGAAATCAGCTGATTTTTTAGGGGGTGGAGGTTTGTGATTCGATCAGGTTCTATATTTTGTAGTTAAATTTAATTGGCTAATATTTAAATCAGGTAGAATGGGAGGTATAGCCTCTTAATAACTTGAAATCACCTGATTTCTGTCCCTTCCCTTAGCAATTACTGATTAGCAATTATATTTAGCAATTAATAATTAGCAATTATGCTTAACAATTAATGATTAGTGATTATACTTAGTGATTAACGATTAGTAATTAATATTTAACACTTAATAATTAGTGATTACAATTAGCACTTAGCACTAAATAAACTATGTTTAACTACACTGATTAATAATTAGCTTTAAAGATATAAAAAGGCTGTAAATTTCTCCAAGTTGATATTAGATTTGTTTATTATTCACCTCAGATACAGACTTCTTTTTTTCCTAAATTTTTTCTTGTAATATTATAGGATTCTTTAGAAATAGAAACCTAAGAATAGCCTATCTTATTTATCTTAAATAAACATATATTTTATCTATAAACTATTGTCTACTTGAATTGTTATAAACAGAAGGATATAGTTTCTCTAAGAAGCAAAAATTATATTTATCTGTTGGACACCATTATAAACCTGTAAAAGATCTCTGTAGCTGTATCATTATTATAATGTAGTACTACTATTAAAAAGGTCACAGTACTATAACATTTGGTGTCTTCTAGCAGAAAACATTTTAAAACCATTACTAGATGATATTATCTCAGCTCCTCTTAATTAATAGCTGTTTACCAGAAAATAGTTATCCCAAATTAAATTTAAGTATTGCAAACAACAACCCTCACCTTGATTTATTTTAGCTGGTGCCTAGACAATATTATTCTAGAATATTGAAGGATTTTCTATAAGCCAAAGTGTAGATGTAAGGATCCAACTTCAAAAATATATTTTATTATTATTTTCTCTATATTAGTCAGTCTATAAACTTTGAACTTTACTCTATAACTGATAGAGTTACTTAACTATACAACCAATATATTGAAAACCACAAATACAAACATATCCAAAACCTTGATCTTCCTTATATAACTTATAAGCTTTAAATCTGGATCTCTCTTATCAAGCTTGCTTTCCACTATTAAGAACTAGTGCTTACACTTTTCATTAAACTAATTTTGGAAGATTTTGGAATTAGTATTCTAGCACCTATTCTGCTTATTCTTATATCTCTAAAACTATTGCAAAATTTTGGATATTTAACTGTAATCTGAGACCAACTCTCTATTTGCACCTTTATCCAAGATATTATTTTTAGTTACCAATATAATCAAGATATTGAAAACCCTAAAAAAATTGCTCTCGTATTACTTATCAGATATATATACCTCACTGCCTTACCTACTATCAACTTTGAATATCAAAACATCTTTGACTACTACATCGATCTAGCTTACAATTTTGGATATAAGGAGCAGAACAATACAAAAGATATTTTAGAAACCTAAGACCCTCTATACAGCATCAACTAGACAATGAATATAGTTTTAGCTATATCAAAAAAATTTTTAAGTGCTATGCATCAATGCATATCTGGATGATTTAATTGATATATAATGATTATTATCAATTATAATCGATAGAGTAAAAAATCAATTAATATTGATAATTTAAAAACTTTGCTATTTTTAACAAAACTTTAAAGATGAATATCTCAATAACTAGTAATTCAAATCAGCCCAAATTTTTATCACAATTATATATAATATTCATTTATAAAGTTTTAAAGTTTTATTTAATTTGGGTTAATAGTTCTCAAGAAATCACTTGTATATAGTAATCGATATTTTTAAAAAAATTGACTATTATATACAAGTGATTTCTCAAAAACTACTAAGCTAAATCAAATGAAACTTTAATATTTTTAGATGAATATCATCTATTTGTGATAAAAATTTGTGCTGATTTGGATTACTAGTTATTGAGATATTCATATTCAAAGTTTTGTTAAAAATGTCAATATTAATTGTCGTGGCTGAAGCTGGAAACGGCTGAAGTTAGAAATTTTAAATATTTTAATATGAAATTTTCAAAATTTTTTGGGATGCATTTTTTTAGCTTGTTTTCTATAGTTAGCTTAGGATTTAGGGATAGTGTTGATAATAAAATTGTATAAATGGATTTTAGTAGGGTTTATATTTTCAAATCGAGGTCCTAATTTCCAGCTTCAGCCATTTCCAGCTTCAGCCGCGACATTAATTGATTTTTTATTCTATCGATTATAATCGATAATAATCATTATATGTCTATAATAAATTATAATCAATATTATTACAAATTAATGTATAACCTCCTGTTGATTATAATTGATTATTTGCTATCAATATATATTGATTTTTCCAATTATAATCATTATCTATCCCTTTAAAAATTTTCTTAATATCTTGAAACTAACAGATTATTCAAAGAACTCTATCTTTTTATCAAGACAAAACAGATAACCTTCACTATTAACCTCTCCAACATTTTTTTCAAAATACATTTGAAGTACCTTAAAGACAATTTATCAAAGTAGACCTTGTTTTTCTACCAAAAGTACAAATAGAAAAATATACTTTACAAAAAAAAGAAGCTTCATCTCTAAAGGAACCAGATTAAGAAGACAATTCTGATTTTGATAATACTGTCCAGAAAATCTTTACTCTAACTGAAACCTTTGAATTATC